TCGTAGACTGCGTCAGCCTGAATATCGCATCAAAGCCAGACGGCTGTAGTATAATGAGAATCAGCCTTAGTCTTCTGGTGAGATCAACCTACGAATCTCTTCATGCAATTGTATACGGAGTGAAAGTCTCCGCAATGCTATCTAAGAATATTATTCGAGACCCTGTTACTCTTCGTATCTGCAAACATACTTGTTGAGAGATATGGCTGGCTGTGCTCCAACAAATCCTTAGCTCCATTAGCACCTCTCTAATAACCCTAAGTCATATGTTCAATCATGAAAACAAAATAAATGTACTATTTTAGGAATCAGAATTACGATGTTAGTGAGGAAATTCCTGAATGTTATTTTTGAAAAATGAGTCACTTAATTGGCCTAGATCATGCTTATTCATTCCAGAACAGTAAGGATCAAAGAACATACCTAGATGAAGGTAGAATGATAATTTAGTGATTATACTTACTCGGCTATGAGTGCGTTGTATATGAAAGCGCAAGGAGGAGCGCTTCGGAAACGTAATGCCGCAGAATTCGCAATCGATTGGCATCTCGTCGTCGCCGTGATGGGTATTGATGTGATGCACAAGGGACTGGCGCAACCGGAAGGAGCGTCCGCACTCGGGACAAGCATGCGTGTAACCCTCAGTGTGTTTGTCCAGGTGAGTCCTCCACTCACGGCGATCTGAGAACCGCTGGTGACAATGGGCACATTCAAAGATCGCAGGTGCAGGATCGTTGTGGACGTCTCGCGAGTGCCTTAGCATGCCCTTCATAAAGGCCCAAAAGTCGCAAAGCTGACACCGGAAAATGGTCTGAAGGCCAGCGTTGTCGTACTCACCCAATGCGACATGCTCATCGCGAAGGTGATCGGACAAGGCCTCTGGCGTCTCGAAAAGGTCGGCACAAACACGACAAATTGTATGACCACTTGCCTGTATGTTGTGCTTTTCCATGAGATGTTCTAGATATTCACGACCCGATACGCGGACAACGAAACCGCAAAACTTGCATTTGAAGCGCTTGTTTGAGATTCCAAGAACTAGTCCAACATCACAACCAACGGCCACAGAGTCAGCGTGGAGAAGACTAGGTGTTGAATGAAGCCTAGCTTGACGAGCCAAAGAGCCTGTTTATGGAAAATGCACGAGAAGCATATTGTACCGATAGATTGCATATGTTGTGGAGTTTATCATATATGAATATAGAAAAGCCATGCAACAAGGAGCCTAAAGTTCGAAATAAATTATCGTATAAAGTTGTATACTTGAATTTAGTGATTCAAGTACATTGAAAGCAGTGACAGAGATAACATATTAATAAACCAAAAAATGACAAAAGATTTCCGTAAATATTATTTTCACACATTTGACATGGATCGATTAGATGAATTTTATTATACGAAGATATGAAGACCAAGATGGTGTGGCCCCTGGTATAGTTGCAGTCTCATTTAGATTTATAGAAGTGGGTTGACCTCGTCTCAACTTGGTCTTATAATCAGAGAGACTTAGTAGAACGCTACTATGGCAAAGGACTTCGGACAAGGTGCGTTTTACTAAGTCACCCTGACAACAAGACTAAGTTCCGACGAGGTCAGCCCACTTTTATTGTACGAAGCTTAATTGTGGCAATTTCCATTTCATGCGACCGATTGATCGATCTCATCAGAAGAGTATGACAAATTCCTGTTGCTATGACGTTCGATGGACGCTGGCGACGAGACATTTTCCTTCGATTCCAGTAAATTCACACTGATATTCTAATTGACGCATAATAGACATCTTTAGAGCTGGATATTATTCTTACTAAAACGTAAGGCAAACACTAAAGAGCTCTATCATATATTCAGAATGTAAAAAAGTACAAAAGAAAAAGAGCCAAAGATGTGCATACATATATACGACTTGATTATTCAACCATGTGGGGATGCGTGTAAATACGCAACTAAGGATATTAACGAGTGTCTAGGTGACAATATCAAGTGTGAATAGGTAGGGCTCAATACGTATTTTAAGAAAAAAAAGAAATGCGCCTAATTATAATACATGGGGGTGAAACTTAACGTATTTTGCTTCAATAGGTTGGAATACAAAGACCAAATTTTTTATAAACATAAGGTGTATAAATATCCACTCAGGAAAGAAAAGCTCCATTTAGAACAGACAATTCAGATAGAAACCAAATTAGGTCCCATTTACAAATGAAAAATAATCGACCTGTCAAGAACAATGGAAAAAAATAGCAAGCGTTTGAGTTCCAAAACGATCTTAATATCATAAAAAAAACTGGGAAATAATCATATATGGTTAATTCAATCGAGTCAAAGCTCGAAGTTTATTCAATCTATCAGAAATACTCTGTAGTGTATAGTCACCAAAGAATAGAAAACCTTGAAGTTAATTCAAAAAACAGAATTCAGGGGCAATGCATATAAATAAATGAGAAAACTTAACTAAGGCTGATAACCTCTTGAGATTCAATTCAATGCAATTAAAATGGCTATACTTATTCAATTCGCAATTTTCATATAAAATGGAGTAAAGCTAAAATAAGTGGTCACATGATAGAGCGCGTGACAATATATTATGTTGGAATGAATAATTCTAAGGTGAGGTAGCTTTAAACCAGGCCAATTTGTTATATGTATGAATAGATAACTTGTGCCTATACTGAAGGCTTTAAATTTGAGAATGTGTGGTCAAGATAAGGAGTCTTTAATAGTGCGTGACTATGAAGTAGATGCGGATCAACATTGCCAATGTAAAAATCAAAATATATATGCCCGTCATTAACAGGAGTAGCCCTACCCGCTGAAATGAGAATCTGATCAGTGCCCGAGGAGAATGGCGGATGAACGACGCCGTGCTCCACCCATTGATGAAAAAAGTAGTTGTGCTTGGTGCCAGTAAAGTTAGAACAAATATCACAGGTCATCAATTTGCGAGCCAAGGCCAGCAGAGTGGCGTTTGTTCGCTGGCGGCCTTGATCCACCTCAGCAGGCAACGCAGTAGCTGCCTCTTCGTTCTCCGGTTTCATGAAAGCCTGACCATCGGAACCTATGATTGAAGCAGGGATGGTAGCCACCAGATTTGCCTTCAATATATCACCGGCCTCTTTATCACCAGACTCCGTAGTTTGGGTAAGGTCGATTTCGTCCAAGTGACGTCGATAATGATAAGACAATTCATCCATTGAAGGAAGCTGGTTTGCGCAAAGGACGCATTGCAAATGATAGACGGTGAAGTGTCGATGCATACGGTCCCGTGAAGCCACCTGTACACCACAGATGCCACATACTAAAGCACCCATTGGCGGCACTGTACCACAAGCTTCATCCTCTTCGTCCTCGTCTGCCGCCCGCCCCGCAGAACCCGCATCACCGTCAGTCAATTTATTTGGGGTGGTGTTGCCAGACTCGCCAGCCAACTCTTCGATCCGTTTCGAATGACTCTTAGAGGCACAACTGGTGCTACGTGGCAATGGGGTGCGGGAATAAAAGCTGACTCCGTCACAGATCTCCAGGTGTTGGACCTAAATTAAAGAGGATAATATTCTTCAACGTTAAGTAGTCATCAATTGAGCAATGAAATA